GTGTACCAAAAATGGTTACCCAGTTCTGCATGAAAACTTTGGCTACTGTTTCCGCTGTGATGTCCGCTATCGGGATGGCTATAGGGAATCTGGTAAATCGATCTATGCATGTAAAAAGATAATTAAAACCGTTTGAACGAGGTAAAGGACCTACCAAGTCGATATGCGCATGGGCAAAACGTGCATCTGATTGCGAGAAAAACACCTATGGGTGAATTTGTATGACGATTAATCTTTGATTGTTGACATGCTGAACACTCTCTAACTATAGGGCGGCCTGCTTGAGCATCTGGGCTACCTGTTCCTGCCATCTAGATATTTCAACAAGTTATCTATTGTTGTTTGTTTTAATATATCATTTTGTTTATTAATCGCATAACCTATTCTGCTGCGTTTCTGAAAAGTGTACAACCTTTCGTTGTCAAAGTTACAGAAAACTCAATAAGAGACAATATGGTTGCTGGCAATGTACAACGAAAAGAATGTACATTATTCAGTTGTTCATTCACTGAAGTGCTAACAACTAACTGGCGATTCCTCAATATTTATCGCCAGGACCGACCAAGAAGAAAGAAACGGAAACTTGTTGAAATACTTTGCGCTGAGAATTCTATATTGTACCAAAATTATAATATTGAATAAAGCTAATAATAATAATAATAATAATAATAATAATAATAACCCATTTGTGTACATCCTTCTGTAAATTCGGCCATATATATCTGGCATTGATTAGTTTTGTTGAAGCTTTCGCGCCAGGATGAGACAAAGAATGAAAGTTATTATATATCAACTTTCGCATATTTTTGGGAACGAAAGGTCGCGGCATTGCATTGGTCGTGTCACAGATTAGAATACCATCGATAGGTGATGGGAATTGTTTTAAATTAAGACTTGAATTGTTTGTTTTAAGTAAGTTTTGTAATTCTAGGTCCTGCTCTTGTTCGTGTCTTAACGTCTCGAAGTTTACTGTAGACTGCTGTAGCACGTTCATTTCTAGTCTGGATAAAGCATCTGCCGCCTGATTGTCCTGACCTTTGACATGTCGGATATCGCTTGTGAACTGTGATATATAGTCAAGGTGTCGGACTTCTCGAGGTGAGTATTTATCGGCTCTCGCTTTTAATGCATTCGTCAGTGGTTTGTGATCCGTAAAGACTATAAATTCCCTACCTTCTAACATGTGTCGGAAGTGTTTAATGGTCAGGTAGATTGCAAGAAGTTCTCGCCCGAAGGTAGAATACCTTGTTTCGGCTGGAGCGAGTCTTTTCGAGAAGAAAGCAATTGGTTTCCAGGCGTTTTTAACCAGTTGGTTAAGGGTACCGCCTACTGCTTTATCTGAAGCATCCACCATCAAAGCAAGTGGGGAAAGAGAATTCGGATATATCAACGTAGTTGCTTGAGCCAGTTTATCTTTAAGCTGTTTAATAGCTTCGATGGCGTCAGAAGACAGTTTGAATTCTTTTGGTTTTCCTTTAAGTGAATCTGTCAAAGGTTGCATTAATTGTGCACAACCTGGTATGAATCTACGATAAAAGTTAATTAGGCCTAGAAAACTTCTCAGTTGTGTTAGAGAACTAGGTACGGGGTATTGTTTGATAGTATCCACTTCTTTTTTTATAGGTTTAATCCCTTCTGGGCTTATTGTGTGACCGAGAAATTCTAAAGTTTGAACACCGAAAACACACTTACTTTGATGTATGTTTATTCCATGTTCATCCAGTCTTTTCAACACTGTTTGTACATGCTGTTCGTGTGATTGCGAATCGGGGCTGGCAATTAACAAGTCGTCTATATACCCCTGCGCAAATGGCATATCTCGAAGTAGGTTATCTATGAATCTTTGAAATGTCTGTGCCGCATTTCTCAGGCCGAATGGCATGCGTACAAACTCGAATAAGCCAAAGGGTGTAGTAATAGCTGTCTTGGGAATATCTTCATCAGCCACCGGGATATTGTGATATGCCCTGACTAAGTCAATTTTAGTGAATATGTTCATACCCTGTAAACCGTTGGTGAAATCTTGGATATGAGGTATTGGGTACCTATCTGGTACGGTTTGACGGTTTAGGGCTCTGTAATCCCCGCACGGTCGCCAGTCACCTTCATTCTTCTTTGGGACCATATGCAAAGGGGATGCCCATTGACTATCAGAGGGACGGATAATACCCAATTGTAGCATATAATCAAACTCGGCCCTAGCGATTTTGAGCTTATCTGGTGCTAGTCTCCTGGGTTTTGCAAACACCGATGCACCTTCGGTTTTGATAGTGTGACTTACTTTTAGTTTGTCTTTGGAAGGCTGTGGGTTTGGTTTAGTTAAGTTCGGAAATTCCGCGAGTATATCTTGGAATTTCGCTGTTGTTACTGGGGGAGTTTGAATCAAGTTAAGAGAGCTGATGTGACTTTCTTTGCCTTTTGTGTAATACGAAGTTTCTTTTAGTGTTAATCGCCGTTTCTTGGTGTCAACTAGAAATTCGTATCTCTCTAGAAAGTCAATCCCCAGTATTGCCAGATCTAAGTCGGCTACCGTGAAAACCCAAGGGAATTGCCTCCTGAACCCCAAATCTAGGGTTATTGTTTTCTGCCCAAATGTCGCGATTTTAGTTTTATTTGCAGCTTGAAGTGTAATTGATGATGTTTCTCGACTAATCTCAGTTTTATTTTGAGGGATGATGCTAAGAGCAGCGCCAGTATCCACCAAGAAATTCAAGCCAGAGTTTCTGTCTCTAACATAAAACAAGCGACTGTTTAGGCGCTCCTCCTCAGTCGTCGCGACCTGGGGAGGGGTTACTCGTTTCCCGCTGTCTTAGAATTATGCTTAGGCCAGGCGCATGGTTGCATGCACTTGGTTGAGTTGACACCAAACTTCCAGTGGTACCAACAAAACTGCCCAGATTGTCTGGACATTTGTGACCTGTTTTGTGACTTGGATCGTGGTCGTTGTGGTGACCTGCTCCTGTTTCTATGACCCATTTGCATTCTGGTGACAGCCTCAGTGAGACTCTTAACACTCGCAATGAGTCCTTCTATTACGGGGTCTTTTGCTGATTCTACTTTTTGTTTGTGATTTATTGTGCCTGATCCAGTTGGAGGACCTCTTTCCATTATTCTGTCGGCTATACGCGCTAAATGAGATAATGAGGTTTCAGGATCCTGTGCATCCAAACAGTGTTGGACGTAGCATGGAAGAGCTTGTATCCATCCTTGTTTTAGGACTGCTTCACCCACTGTGTTATCACCCACTAAGACTTGGAGGTGACGTAAAAACTGTGACGGCGACCGATCACCTAGTGTTTCACCTTGAAAAAGTCTTTGGATTCTTTGACTATCTGATAATGATAAACGGTTCATTATCTCTCGTCTTAAGATGGTGTATGGTTGTGGTGATGGTGGACTTAAAATCAAGTCACGGACTTCTTTGGCGACTGAAGGAGGAAGGATAGAACACAAGTCTCTATAGCGAATCCCTTCAGATTTGATATTGTGTCTCGTGAAATAATGCTCTAGTTGAGCAAACCACAACTCAGGATCACTACGATCAAATTCTGGAAGTCGGGATTTCGTAGTCATAACAGTGTCTATCTCCACTGGTGACAAATCCTCCAGATTATGGGTTTCTATTGAGTCTGACATGAGGTATGTGACAAATATAGCAATAAAGTTAGCACAAAAAGTGGTTACTATAACACGAATAACTTAAGATAATACGGAATAAACTAGTTATATACTCAAATTAGTTTACGGATAATCAGGTCTACTTTTACGATTAAGTAAAAAAAATGTTAATAACAGAAATGAGGTTAAATTTGTGTTCAAAAAGGGCTCACCAATTTCGTGCCTTGAAGTAACCCTCGTGCTATTGATAGAAGAAACCAGACAAGTAGTGAATATGTCTTTATTTCGATCTTCGCACAGTGGAGCGTGGGATTATCTGTTCAGACAAACAAAGGCTCTCAACATTCAAGATAATAGGGAATATAACGCTTATAAAAAATAAGGAAGTGAATGAATACTTGAACAATACTGTTTTGGCATAAGCTTGGTTGTTTGGGGTCAACTCTTAACCAACCAACCTGAGCTGTTACAATGCAACCAATAGGATAAATTGGCAATTAAAGAGTATCTGACTGGACTTTAAAGTTGGGCAGATGATAACGAACTTACATTTAACATCTTGAAGTGTAAAGTAGTCCATCTGAGACATGTAATAGACTACAAATGCAACTAAGGCAACTCTTTTCTGGATGCATCCCAAGTTGAAAAAGATATAAGGGTGTTGGCACCGTACGGTCTGAAGTCTTACTCTAACTGCAACAAAAACGCCTTTCGAGCAAACCTTGCACTGTTAACATTGAAGCGCGTTTTTGGCCAGTTCAACAAAAAACTCTCCACATGATCTTCAACAGTTTTATTACACCCCATTTAAAGTTAGGAAACATAGTATTTCCTCCCTCATTCCAAAAGGATAAGGACACTCTGGAACGTATCCAACGTCGAACCATGAAATCAGTTCGAAGACTCAAATTCAAGTCTTACGAAGAGCGCCTTCAATAGCTTAACATTTACTTATCAGAGAACATGAGTCTTAGAGATCGCTTACAACATCCTTAAAATTTCTGGTTATCCCCTTAAACACCTACTTTAGCTTAGTGTCTCAGCACAAACTTTAGGAGGAACACCCAGAAACTGGAGATACGACACATCAGAACGGACTGTAGGCACACTCTCTACTCCTTAAGAGTAGTCAAACGCTGAAATTCGCTGTTGACTGAGGTCGTCTAAGAGACTTCTCAGGAGTTATTTAAGAGATAACTTGACATATTGTTAAGGACCAACGACAGTAACTTACTATGGCATACCAACCATTTCTTCTTTTACCCATTCTATCGTTAATGTACTTGGGTTGCTTCCTGGAGGCATCGGTACTTCAATGCTACCATATACGGGAGCCCGTTAAGCTATATTTTCTTCTATTCTGTTCTAAATCACTTGACATTTTTTAATCTGCGGAGTTTGAATTCTGGGATACGTCAAGGGCGTGTTTACGTCCCAAGCATGACGCAACCCCCAACTCAAGAAAAGCTAACACGTATCGCCATCGTCAGCAGTGACAAATGCAAACCGAAAAAGTGTCGTCAAGAGTGTAAAAGATCATGTCCTGTTGTGCGCATGGGTAAACGATTGTTGTGGTAATGTAATTCTTGAAGGTAAACTGTGCATTGAGGTCACACCAAACGACAAGATCGCATTTTTATCAGAAGAATTGTGCATCGGGTGCGGCATTTGTAGCAAAAAATGCCCTTTTGAAGCCATCTCTATTATAAATCTTCCTAGTAATTTGGAAAAGGAGGTTACCCATCGTTATGGTCCGAACTCATTTAAGCTACATCGTCTGCCTATGCCGCGCCCCGGTGAGGTTCTGGGATTAGTTGGAACCAACGGTATCGGAAAGTCCAGTGCTTTAAAAATACTTGCCGGTAAACTTAAACCCAATCTTGGCCGGTTCAAGGTTTGTTAATGAATTTTACACTTCATCATTATTGGTTTTTCGTCGTATAGTTGGTCTGTAATTTGGTTTTTGGTATCAATATGCCCTAGTAAGTGAACGAAAGGACTAAGGCGATAACTTTATCATGCAATTCATTACTCGCGTTAGGAGTGTTTTTCGTAATTGCCTTACATCATAATCCACCGTGTAAATTTTTAGACTAACTTTATAAGCTAGTTTGGTTTTTTAATAATCTGGTCAGTATGATTTATGATGCTTATGTCTTTCCTGTTCATATGCTCATTTGAACCTACGGTGAATTGTAAACATTTCTCGGTGACACTATAATATATGGAATACCTTTGAGTGATGCTCAAGTAACCCTGAAAAAATTCATCTGCTTAACAGGGTTACGTTTTCTAACCATTTGGTTGCAAAGTAAATCTCCATTTTATCTCCAACATTGGCAAGCAAACAATATAACTAGCTCTACCTAATTCTTGAAAAAAACATATGTATACGTATCCAATCTGTAAATTGGTTTTTTAAAGAATTTCGTACCCAATCCTTATTAACATCGCAACGAGTAGCTACGAAATCATAAAGGACATTCTTCAAATTAAGACAAATCTGGAACTAACTGAACCATAAGTTCTTATTTGTTGTAGGGTCTGTGGAGCAAATTTTTGAATGTCTACTCCGGTAGAACTTCACAACTACATGTTTATATTTTTACGAGTTTATAGTACTAAGTCAGACTTATAGATTTTCTGCATAACATTCTGCTATATTCCCCGATAGTTCCGCAAGTTTCCAATTAATTAATGATATTTGACTGACCACCTTTATCACTACGCTTTGAGAAATCCGTCTATCCATCAAAGTTGCAAGCAATTGTTAAATAAAGGTCTCATCGTTACTTACGCCCATGATCATGATCAGTTAAGCATGTTCACTTTTTAAGTGACTGATTTATGAAGACATCTTGGTACCCCGTCTAAGTAGCATTTTATTGAGTTAAATAAATTTTACAACCAATTCAATTCACCAGTACTCAAGCTCACTGTCGATTTCAGTCGTTTATGAAATTCCAAGCGTCTTTACTAGAGTGCGTTAAATATTTAAAACCAATAGTTACAGATCAAAAATGACACGAATAACGGTTAGGCAAATTTATTCATTGTCTTGGGGAATTTGGAAACATCATCGTCTATGTGTTTCCTATCCATTTATATCACACACTCACTTGGTACTTCATTTTGTTTTAACATGCCAATACCAACTGACTTTTATTGCTAAGTCTCATGTTATTTTATTACACCACCGTTGATCCTCGAATAATAAAGAATTCTTCCCTAGAATCTGTTGTATATAATTATGGTGTATAGGTGTTTTTATTTGCACTAATCTGTTTTCAGTAATCAAAGAGTGTACTGTAATTTTACGGAACTTTGCAGAACCTTTAGAGAAGTTTAAGTTAATAAATTGAACTGTAATCAGATAAAGTAAATTCCGTGAAATATTTTACTTGTGTTGTTTTCTATTAAAAATAAGTTTCCATTTATGTTTCAATGTCAAGTCATAAATGTGAACATCATGAGAAATCCGACGTCTGTCGTCTTATACATCTGTTTATCGCTGCTATAAGTGAACACCATGATGCTTATTGACATTCGTTCGCTCGGATATATTTGTCTTTTTTTCTTTCTCTTTAGAATCCACCGGATTGGACTGAAATATTAACGTATTTCCGTGGTTCGGAACTACAGAATTATTTCACAAAAATCTTAGAGGACAATTTGAAAGCTGTTATTAAGCCACAATATGTTGATCAAATCCCTAAAATCGTATCTGGTGAGGTTAAAACCTTACTTAATCGAAAGGACGATAGAGGCAACCAAGATCACGTTTTAGAAATGCTTGGTAAGAAAACTTATTCTCGGATGACTAATCTAGTATATTATAAAACTAGATCTTCAAGTAGTCACTGAACGTATGGTAGGCGATCTATCTGGTGGTGAACTTCAAAGATTTGCTTGTGGAATGGTTTGTGTCCAAAAAGCTGATATATATATGTTTGATGAGCCTAGTTCTTACCTGGATGTCAAGCAGCGTTTAAAAACAGCTATAGCTATACGTGAACTACTGGAGGTTTGTAACTTCATTTCATAATGTTTTTGACCTTATATTTCGAAAGGGTACAAATTATGTTATTGTTGTGGAGCATGATTTATCTGTTTTGGATTACTTGTCTGACTTCATATGCTGTCTTTATGGTGTCCCAGGTGCTTATGGGGTAGTCACTATGCCTTTTTCCGTTCGTGAAGGAATAAATATATTTTTGGATGGTGTGGTCCCTACGGAAAATTTGCGTTTTCGAGAAACACCACTGGTTTTCAAGGTATGGTTTTTTCTGTTAAAGACATCTTATTTGATGGTTTGTTTGGATGTTTATTAAACTTCGGCTGTTGTTTTTTTATTTATCTTTCAAACCGTCCCGTTGTCACTGTAGTTTGGGACATTAATCTGTATCTGATCACTTCACTGACTTATTTTTAATTTTAAGTCTGTTTCGATCGACTCGTTAGACGTAATTCTGTACACATCTATACAGTAGATTTTAAAAAATTTCATTCTTCGTCTAGCGTCAGTCAGTCAGTCAGCTACAACGTAGGACCAGGCACATATGTGCATCGGTCCAGGTTGCCATACCGCATCAGCACAACAAGATGAACACCAGATTCATAGCAGTGGTTAGGTCAAAGGTGGTAATATATAAGAGAAAGATTGCATATAGAGATATAGTACAAGAAGAAAGAATTGGTTCGTAGAAAGAAAGATATGAAGTGATTTTAATCTCTTACTTCTTGTTCACTCACCTTACCAGCACTCAAGACTATTCATATTCGAACTGTTGGGGTACTTTTAGAACTTAATTACCAGATGTGAAAGCAGGCATATGTTTAGATTAATCTCATAACACTTCTTTCCTTGCTGATGGAGCGAAACGTCATATACTTAATAACGTATCAATGTGCTGCGAGTGCATGTTGAAGGTTATGAAATCCTAGTGGACTACTACACAAGTGTTACACTTGATGATGCGATCATCTCTGAATCGTGGTATACAGGCTACGTCTACTTAAAATCTATATTTCTTAGCTAAGTCGGTTAACTGGGATTATGCTTGTCTAGCACCTTATACTACACCTTCACAAGTATACCAAAAACTTTAGTGTCTAGAAAACGTCGGTCTTACTTCACTTGTTCCGTACCTACCATTAGTTGTAGTTGAAAAAGAAAGTAGTTTGTGAGTCTCAAATATCGTTTCTTCGTCGGGGTTCGAAAATCTATCCTCATGCCTAAAAATATCTTAATTATATACAGTGATGATAAGTGCGTGTGCAAGTTGGGTCTTGGTCTCTTTATTAGTTATTTTCGGTATAAAATGTTTCTACTGCCACGACCAAAACACATCCTACTTTGTACCGCTATAATCTACTAGCTTACGGAATCAAAATCATTCCAGTAGTGTTCAACAACTCATCGATCCCATTATTTTAGGCATTATCAGGACTGTTACACGCCTCGATGATGTCAATACATAGTTCAAAATTACAATTCGAAAGATATTTTTAAAGTATCCTTGTTGTGTCAAGGAGCATGGTCACCAGCTGCATCCCGACCGACGCTACTTTTCTCACCGATCAATTAAATCTCTAGGATTTATTTTCAATGTATCTCGTTCAGGTATTGAGAGTTCCCATGTAATTCAACTGATAACATCACTGAAAAGTGTATCTTCATTATGATTATTCTTCAACTAAGGTATAGTCCATTTTCATCACCACCAAAAAGTGTACTCACATCTAAAGGGGCTGTAAAGAATACTCGCGGTAAGCTGGCTTATGGAATACGATCACGCTCTCAATAACTTCAGCTCTGATTCTGACTCAAATTCCGGTAATCTTTACGGCGGGTGTATCAAGTCAGGTAATAGTGTAGATGAATTAATTTTGAACATTCCTTCTTGTAGGATGTTAAAAGGTTATAATGCACACTCACATCTAATTAAATCGAATAAATAGTACTAGTTTTGGTGTTTTCTACTAAGAAGATGGATTATGGTTGTTACTAGTGCTTACTATCGGATCACAAGCAGATTCCATTTCCGGTTACAAATAGTGGTTCTGTCCCAAATAGAACGAAACGCGCGTCCTGGATTCCACTGCTAGCTACTATCCATCTTTCATCTAATCTGTCTTGTCAAACATTCACAGCTGCACTCCTAGTTTTATTCAAGCTACTTTTGTCATAGTTACTGATATCAAGAAACAAACAATTAGTAATTCATTAACAAGACAACAAACCATTTACGTGGAGCATTGATGGCTGACAAACATGGATAAGAGAATAAATGATGTTTGGTTTCTATTTATTTCAGACTTATGTTCTCTTATCGGTAATAGTTTCAACTTTTGCTAACTCAGATATCGTTCGACGTTTTTTACACTGGAAATTCTGTAACCTGGGGCACGGAATGTAATCAGTAGGACCATATTTCTGATCATAAACACGGCCTGAAGAGTGGTCGGGAGTAAATCCTCACAACTCATATAACAGACCCATCTACTGTCATGTGCCTGGAAGAGATTACTGGTCAATAAAGAACATTATTATTATTATTATTATTATTATTATTATTATTATTATTATTATTATTATTATTATTATTATTATTATTATTCTAACACATAGATATTGGTACAAGGAGGCACCAAATACATATGCGCCACACTAGTCTCATTCGATATGTGTGAGGGCTGTGATACTGCCCGGGTGCCCAAACCGAATCACGTGACTAGTCGCCAATCGAAGTACGACCTATACAATTCTAGCGCTGCCATACCAAACATGTATCGGCTGGTATGAGCAGCCTAGCGTCCTTATTGGTCCTTTTTCCTCCTAGTCCTGCCAATTGAGTCCAGAACGCCGATATCAGCTTCCGCCATATGAATCATTTAGTTCAAATATACCTGGCTTATATACAAGTCAAACAGAGCACATCACACCCTAAAATAGTAAATAACATCTGTACAAGATCAAGCTAAAAAGTGGCTGTGAACGTGGGAGACTATAAATAAAAAACTTGACATAACCTAAGAATAAATCGTATTATAATAGTCTATAGGTCAAAATAAAGCTCATAACAATGAATGTGAACATAAAGTGTAATTCACTGTAGATGTTCGAAAATACTCTTCACAAAAAGTTTACTACTTCTAAGTAGTGTTGCAATATGTCACATCAGAAAATTACCGTAATTTAGGTGTGTTAGTTGTATTATTTCTCTATTTAACAAACTTTGAAATAATTTGTGTTATTTTTTTGAATTTTCAAGGTGTCCGAAACCGGTAATGAAGAAGAATTAAAACGTACAGCTCGTTACGATTATCCAACCATGTATAAAAGTTTGGGTTCATTCGAATTGACAGTGGAGGCTGGATCATTTACTGATTCTGAAATTATTGTAATGCTTGGTGAGAATGGCACTGGTAAAACTACATTTATTCGCATGTTGGCTGGTAATCTGAAACCTGATGGTGATGAAAAGTGTCCAGTTTTACATGTATCATATAAACCGCAAAAAATTAGTCCAAAATCAGAGAAAACAGTCCAAAATTTACTTTTGGAAAAAATCCGTGATTCATTTACACATCCACAATTTTCAACAGATGTGCTTAAGCCATTACAAATGGAACGACTTTATGATCAGCAAGTAAGCGATAAGTTTCTACATTGTATTTCAACATGACGTACTAATATGTACCGATTGTATTTTCTTTTTCATAGGGATAACTAAGTAGTAGAATAGGCAACTTTATGTGGCAGAGTTTCACTACACTAATACCGAGTTTTACAAAACGTACTTAGATGTTACTTACTATGGCATTAGTGAAACAGAAATGGTATGTTTGTTTATGTAAATAGGTGGGCGAGTATTACGTTATCAAATGGATATACGAATCTTTTCATATGAACTTTTACGTACAAAGAAATAGCATGAAGCCTTAGCCACGCTCCTTTATTTCGTTAAATGTGTTAGAACGAACGAGGTCAGTACCAAATGTCAAATAGATAGTAAATCATTTGTTTCGATGAATTATTCGTAATTGTAAGTCTAAAGTTACTAAATTGATTCACTCTTTACAACATATTCCCTCTTTTATACCAAAACTTCTAAGTATAAAATCGACTTGAAAAAATTATCAGGAGTGTGTTGTGAGGGCAAAACCAATAAAGAATTATTGTCCGATACCAAATAAGGTAGGTAATACAATATAGTTTATACAATAACACTAGGCTGAATAGTAAGACTGTGCACTCTAGACCATAATACAGGATAATACATCTTAATACACTTAGTAGAAGCTTGGGGACTCTATCGATATACTAGATAATTACACCACTACTGTATTAGATCACGTGGTATACATATACATAATATCCGACCTATAGTTCAGAACAAAATATTAGATCAGAATCATATTTATTGACACAAACTCTAGAGCAACCAGTTAGTGTGAAATCTAAACAGTTACAATGTAAAGGGTAGTGATTTATGTGATAGATTACAGGGTAAGCAGCTGTCCGTCTTTTACTCAGTGACCAATCACACCTCAATGTTATATCAGAATGTGAACAGTATCATACATGAAATGGTGTGTTTGCACATAAATCCGATATTATAATCTTTTATTCGGAGAAAATTCCAGTCATACATATTACTTGTAATAATAACGGTTCCTCAAGTCTGTGTTCACATGCAAGGTCATCTAAGCTTATGATGCTATTTTTAGGCTTAGATCACTGAACAGTTTTCTGAATGACCACTATTTAAATAAGTCTAATTTACACTAAACATTTAAAGTGCTAGATAGAAAAAGTAACCCATTCAATCAGGCTTTTCACTAATATCGACTTTTTTAATTTTCTTAGCCCAATTTTGGAATTCATAGCAATTTAAATATATCTAAACATCTGTTCTGGTCTATTCGAGTATGAAAAGTACTGGTTATATTTAGTAGAACAATATTTGTGAATATAGGGTATTGTGTAAACTGTTGAATTGTGGTCTTGTATTACTGACCGTACCCAGAGGAGCTCTGAAAACCAAGAAACGTTGGATAGCTTTAGGCTCTCCAATACTGGGAAGAAACAGATGTCCAGTGTTTTCTGCTTCTCTAATGGTTCTCTAAATAAAGTCGGGTAGTGATGTAGAACTACAAATTCGACAACCTCCACAACCACTGATGTTAAAAGTCTTCACTCAAATGATCTTAAGCGATAATTTTCAGAGTTCTAGTGAGAAGCTGTGACCGGTGAATTTCAACCTTATTAAGGGTTAGACAAATATAATCGTTAACAGACGATGGTGGTGGCGTAGTATCACCAATTAAGTAACGTTGTCAATTGTAAACCATTAATCCTTAACTGGGTGGTCAAAAGTTTAAGAGCTCTCCGCAAGTGCTGAATGTCTCAGGTCCAACCTCAGATGAGATCATGAATACATACTTCATGAGGTCTAAAACAATGACAGAACAGCTATTTATTGCTTCCCGATTTTCAATAGTTCTCTAAGTGGTTTCATTCTGTAATGTATGGAAAAACAATATCCCCCCATTATTTAGTAATCTGAGAGACAATAAAGTCTTTCTAGTCGATAGGTGAATTACATCAACTTAGTTTTTAACTTATCATAATACTGTCTCGTTTTTTTGCTTAAGACTGACATTCAAAACCATTCAGCTTCAACCAATAAGTAATAAATGTTTTATTCTCGAAATCCTCCGAACCACGTACTCTTTATCCTATGGTCATGTAAGACTGTTAATCAAAGGTTTTCATTAAGCAAAAGACAACACTGTGGATTGAATATATAAATTAGTTAGAAATTGCCAATTAATTTCACAAGTTTATTATCTACAAAACGGTGACAGGTTGCATCTAGCAGTGGGATCCAGGACGCACGTTTCGTCCTGATTGGGATTCATCAATTAGATACACCTGCATCCTAGAGGTGATGCTTATTTCGGAATTCACTTTAAACACCAACGAATTATCCACTTAGCTACTGAGTCCAGATAGGCACTGGCTTGTGCAATGGGCTGAATTTTAATTGGTTTGTGTTAGTTGTTTGAATCTTCCCATTGATGTTTATGACTGCAATTGATCAGTCTCTTTAGATATCTTTGCATCCTGTGCGGATTATCTCTAGTCCTCTTAATCTCATACATTTATTGTTGTGTTTCTTTTCAAGGTAATGAACTTATCTGGTGGTGAATTGCAACGACTAGCTATTACATTGTGCCTTGGCCAACCAGCTGATGTTTATCTAATTGATGAGCCATCAGCTTATTTAGATTCAGAACAGCGTTTACATGCCGCAAAAGTTATTAAACGATTTATACTGCATGCTAAAAAGACAGCTTTTGTTGTAGAACATGATTTTATTATGGCAACATATTTAGCCGATCGAGTTGTTGTATTTGACGGTCAACCTGGTGTTAAGGCTACAGCAACAACGTGAGTGTATTCGATGGTTGTTAGTTTTTTTCTCTCTAAAGATATTTCTGCATGAGATGTTACGAATTCAACGTTCCTAAATCCACTTAATTGGACTACTGAATTATCGAGTCCGCGTACGCCAAATAACATTAATGACCTTTATTTAACTCATTTGCCCACCAAGTGTGCTGGCACTGATTATTACCCCACGCAACTTCATTCTGCCCCCCCCCAAACTTGCTCTATTAAAACACAATAAAAGCTAACCGACGTACTCTGTATATTTTATAACTCAAACACGATCACAACTTATTAAAAAAACTGGATCATTTGTGATATAAAACTGATTGATGAGTATATAATTCAATAACTATAAAAGGGACATATCATCAGTCAATGATTATATAAAAACTTACAATTTGAGCAATATAAAAGTATCATAAAGAAAATATTTAATAATTACATAAAAATGTATATGATATTTTGCTTTAGAATAGTTCTGAAAATTCTAATCTTTTCGACTTATTCACATCTAACATGTGTGTCTCCGGCAGAAAACGATACAAAATTAATTCATTCTTCAAATTGGTAAATACATCATTATATTTTGCAACTCATTGATAAGGTTAACACTTGAGACTGCACATTTTTATCGACTGAGTTAGCCAGGACACTTATTTTCAGTTATCGCCTACCTCAACGGGCAATGTTAACTGGTGTAGGGGTTAAGCTAGAAGAAAACCATTCTGACAAACCAAAACATACCACTAGTCCATAGTCATTGACTGTTGTTTTGACTCATGTTGACAGGTGCAAACTATTTGATTCAAGTTCACTCATTAACTACGATCAGTGTTTGAAGACACTAGGTGACATAGCGTAGATGCACATACCTTTTTATCGTATAGATTTTGAGTCGCATTATTCCTTCATTCTTTCTTTTTTATATCACATTTTCGAAGTTTTCCCTTCATTATAATTGCAACTACGGTTATTTCGACTCCTTTACTATTCATCTTGTTAATTTCATATGGTGTAACAATTTGAGGTGACGTACATCTGTGCAAGATTCCATGTTGTTTATAACTGATTTCTGTTGGAGCACTTTCGCGAGGCTTAACATGTAATTCGGTAATCTTAGCTCTTAATTAGTAATCTACAGCTATCTTCTGACGATTATTCATATTTCACTACCTACTATTACTAAATAATTTCTATTTCAATGCAAACCAAATATCTATACTAAATTTAAAATTGTGTTCATAAACTACCTAACATCGAATCCAACTTCATATCTGAATAACTTCGAAAATCAGTTAAGTAATCACACACATACACACTCAAACGGAATACAATTCTTGTTCATTGTTGACATTAAAATGTACCAATGTATGTTTCATCCTTTTTGTGAAGTTCATTTTTTGTATCAAGATATAACCGATAGTATATAGAATGGGGCTATCATTTTAAACAGTATTATTTATTAATTGAATACCTAATTGTGTATGAGTGCTCGACAATCTCACCAAAAAATGGAATACAATGATTTACTTCTATAAAAATCTCTATCACATGATGTACTCTAATTTCTACATTTTTTCACTTTGATTATAGTCCACAAAATTTAGTTACTGGTATGAATAAATTTTTACAATCACTTGACATAACATTTCGACGCGATCCAACCAATGCTAGACCAAGAATCAACAAGTTGAATTCGGTCAAAGATGTTGAACAGAAAAGGAGCGGCAATTATTTCTTTCTTGGAGATTAAATTTTGTTTATAGACCTGCCTATCTTCTCACTTGCAAGTTTTTCAACAATGCCTGTTGGGTTTTGCTTTTCTGTCAGAAGTCTGTGTATATGGTTGGTGTAATATGTGTGATGATTTAATTTCTCTGACTAATCACTTGCCTATTTATTGACTGACTAGGTTATTAATATATGATACAATTGTTGGAACAAAGCTTTTTTCAACTCAAATCTTGTCTTGAGAAGGGCTCTTTTCGGAAATATTGAAGTGAGTCTTAATTTGTTACATCAATTTTAGAACTATCAGTCACTTAGTTAAATGGGAAGTGAAACCTGGCATATACGTTTATTAGTTCAAGTTACCACATCATATTAGATTATCGGGATGAAATAGTCAGCGCAGACCCCAGAGTATTAATAGTATTAGTAATAATAAGAAAGACTAAAGATATACCATGTGACTCCAAAAGAGTAAATTGTTGGAATAAAAAGTATAGGATCATTTCGGAACTTAGAATCGAGGGGAATACAGAGTAAATGGGTCTGTACCATCATTACCAATTCTGAACTATGTTATCCGACGTTTTCAACCACTGTCAAAGATAATCGCCCAGACTCCAACCAGCTAGTTTGCACCTACACGGCTTAATCTAACAGTGAGTTCATGAGGTGATGATACGTTTTGTTTTGGTTTCTTCGAACGTTCAGTTAACGTCGTCTATTGACGTGGTGTTTGAGAAGACACGATACATGTCCAACCCACTTCAATCGATGAAGATTCACTACCTCATCAAACAAGTGTGATATCTGAATTATTAAAACCATAGATCGAGATACCCCTATCATAATAGATTGTGACGAATCATGGATGCGTGGGATAAGTATTCTCTTTAGTTTTATGAAATTAGTTAATTGACTCTTCCTTTTCATCAATATTTTTATTTAGAACAATATTGTTTTCGATTAGATCCTAGTCGAAAACAACGTTGTTCGCTTATATATGTTGTTCTAAATTTACAATACGGGAATATTCCAAATATTCTTATTGCCAATAAGTTCTCGAAATTATGTAAGATTCGTTTTGTTCATTAAGACTAAATTAGTTAAAAGAAATCTACATTTGTTTATCATCTAACCCCAAAGTCTCTCAACTACATGTTATTATCTGCCGACATATCTAAACTGAAAGTTAAGACGCTTTGGTAACTGAGTGGTAACTTTAACAGTAAATTCCTAAATAATTGATTATTTGAAACGTGTTTTACTATATACGGATTAACAAATTGGAGACTTAATAAAAACGTACTACGAAAAGCATTGTGATAATCCCTCCATGGAGCTTAAAAAACAAAAGTTATAGACTATTAATAATAACCAAAGCACACTATTCAAGTGGATATACCTTTGATCATTACAACTTAGAACCATGTCAACTTGTGTTACTCACAGACGATTAATCTCAACCAGATTAATTGATATGGTGATTAAGACTAGGAGATACTACCAACAGGACTATATTAAGCAATTATTTCTATCATTTTCGTCCAAAGGTATGGTAAAGCCATACAGATCGAGTCCTAATGCTCCCGGGTATTCGGATATAATGCGATAGAGCGCAGTGATATCGTCAATATTGGTTACATACCACTCAAATGACCTTAAAATACAGGTGAGCACATAAGACATTAAAACAGCTTACTGATCATATATTTCGGTAGCAATACTAATAATAATTACATGGTAATCCACAAGTATTTCAGAGTAAACATATTCTAGTTACTAATGGAATATGAGTTAATTTAATATTATTTTGTATAATGTGAACTGTATTCACGCTTAGTAATAACGATTCTAGCAAAGCTCACAGGATTTTCACATACCATTTAATATCAAGTTACGGGAAAGAATTACAACTCCTAGCTTGCAGTTCAATAAGTTAGAGGTAAATATAATAAGCCGAGATATGATAATTAGTGACTATTAAGTGAACAAAGAGAAGCATGAGAGCAATAGATTACCGCATACAGAAATCATTATTCTTTATTAACATTTTATAAGCCATGCAGTGATCTAAAACAGCGCGATAACTACCGTTAATGAATTAGCTCATAAGAATTTGTAAGCGTTCTGTCATGTTCATAAAACACTTACCTAGTTATATTTATTTGCTTACAAGATGTCAGTTAACAAAAGAGTTGATCGAAAGAAACTAACAATCACATACTAATTAATACAAGTTCCTTATAAAACAAATTTCTCTACTGTCTAGTATCCTTTGGATATCATGCTTCACCCAAAACTCGAGAAGTCAAAATGAAGAGGGGACAACTTACATTTTGATTTATTTATTTATTTCAACACAAATATTGGTACAAGAGGGCACCAAATATATATGCGCCCCACCATATTTGTGTGTGTGATACTGCGCGGGTGCCCAGACCGAAGCAGGTGGTTTTCTTACGGGGTCACACCCGAGCCTTTGACCCAAAGGTCTGATCCACAAGGCAGTGGAGCATCGTGAGATGCATTCCCATGGAAGCTGGTGACCAACGATTGGTTCATACGCCATTTGTCCCTGCAGGATACTGGAGCCCATGTGCACCATTGGTTTTCGATCTGGTTAAAGCGCCGGACATTCGCTTTTCGTCTTCTGAATTTTGTAAACACCCCCACCACGAGAAGGCAGTGAGTAGGACTTCACTGGCAGAGGCTGTATACGCGTGGCCGTGTGAGAGCATTTTGAGAGGGAGGGCGGGCCCACCCCACTCTCGGCCATACCAGGGCATTTGATTGAACAAAGAAAGTTATAAAAATGTACATAGGAATCATTTAACCTACTGATTCGTGCACTGGCATTGACTAGTTGAATATGGACCAATCAGTGTATCCCAACTTGGTCGAGATCAAAGCATACAACAGTCGAGACTACATCATTCTAATTACATTGTATGGGTAGAGAGTATATATTTACACAAGAATCTTTTTTTTAAACCTGGAAAACTCCAGTACATTTTGAACTGCACTGAAAAAATACCTACGATAATTCAGACCATCGTTTTTCAAGTTTTGGTCTTCAGTCGAATCCATTAAAATTTCACTAATCCTCTAATACAGTTATAATTACTGAAAGACAAATCTAGAGGGCATTGAGAATTTTTTTACATCGAAATGCTTCCATGAATATCAACCATGTATATTTTACTAATTAGTTGATGATTGGAAAAGTCATAGCCACCTGAAGTGTGATTCATTTACACACAATTATTAAGACAGATGATTTTTTAGTATACCATTACGAAATTTACTTAACAACGATCAATCATTCATTAGTAAGTAGACATCTACTTCAAACGGCCCAAAGGTTATTTGTTCGAATTCTGATGCAATTAAAATCCCCTTTCAACCTCGATCGTTATCACTGCATATTTCAGATAGCCTAACTGAAATTATATTTCGTGCACATAATTTTATATCAAACGATATGTAGCACTCAATACAATATTTCAGTACATTGATCGATGAACAAACGCATACATGTACATGGCAAGTCTGGAATTCCAAGTATATTCTCAGGGATTCAAGTAATCAATTATTCAAATAAGCACATGATGGATAGCATTTAGATCCTATGATCAAAATGTGACAATCAATTGATCAACGGCCCACCTGTGATGTTTCTCAGATAATTTGAATATGGATAAAACTTGATTTCAGGAGGCTAAAACGAAACATACCTGAACAAATTGTTTGGTAATTTTTCAAACGCCTGTTAAGAACATCTAGAGAAATAAAATTTTCAGAGAAACATCGATATTGGGTAACAACTGACGAGACATGATTTTATCAAAATGAGTAGTAGATTGTTAGTTACTTAGTTTGATTACTTGTTATGTTACTTTGAACTTATTAAATGTGACTGTAAATTGAGGTAATGCAATCACAGACACAAGCGAGGTATGCAGGATAAGTGAATTATTTAGTGAACCGAAAGTTAATATCCATGGTAGCTGAACAGCTATCAATGAAAGTACAATCGAGGTCAGAATTTTAAGTTTAGCACGTGGTGATACTTAATGCAGACACTATGATTTTCTTTTCGTGAGTTGTACACACAAGGTTAAGTACGACAGCTTCAGAAACCAACAAACAATATTCCTCCTGTTAAAAGACGTAACCATGGTTTACTTTTACGAACAATCTAACACCCGAAAACAGCTTCTAGGACCCTCTGTTCGAAATAGTTGGAGTTGGTGTAAAACCACTACCTACTGATCCGAAAGTATGCTCTCCATCGGACGATTAGAATAACGTTATTGATTAGTCTAAGGGTAGTGAAGAGAACAGTACATCAAAACTCATCTTCACACACCTAAAATTTTTGTTACATATAATTCAATTTAGATTTATAAACATACAGACAACTTATACACACTTTATTGAAATTAGTCAAGTGGTATTAATAATCGTCACAGGATTCAACGAATATCACTTTATATCTTATATTAAAGTATAGATTTAACTGTGTCAAGTTTTACAACCACTTGATACGATGATATTTATCTTACCTTTATAGGGTTGAAATTCACTGGTCACAGCTCCTCACTACAACTCTGGAAATCACCGCTTAAAATCATTTATATGAATTGTTAACATTAGTGGTTGTGGAGGTTGTTGAATTTGTAGTTTTACATCACTTACTTAAGCCTGCTACTCCTTGTGAAGGAGCATATGCCACCCACCACTGGTCTCCGTCCTGGGCAATCCTCTCCAGTTGCTATTTATTCTTTTGATATCTGCTTCTAATTCCTGACATGTGTTCCTTGGTCTTTCACTTTTCCCTTAAGGATTCTAAGTTAGCGCTTCCCTACAATCGCCTGGATTGATTATTTATTTTACTCTCTTGAAGCAACTTTCACATTCCTCACATACCGGTTTTATGATAAACGATAATTTTTGAGATCTTGTTAAGAAAAATCACCCTTAACTGCTGAGTACCAGTTTCAACATATATGACACACCACAAAGCTTATCTGCTTTCTAAAGGTAAAAATATATCATGATTTTTATTTATTTACCCCCATGCTCATTAAAAGAAACCTGAAGTAAAATAAATCGGATTGATAGAGACTTTGAGAAGATATATGTTGCACTTGTTTTACCCGACCTAATGTTTAGATAAGAAACAAACCCTTAAAATTAATTGATCATTGAGTGATCTATGTCGTATATGTTAAATTATTCTTAGTGCCAACCGAATTCTATTGATCAAGTTGCAATGTTTCGCACCATTTGACACTTGTTAGCAGGGTGTATCTGTAATCTTGAGGGAACTGACCCACCCTGGGGAATTTGATTGTGTCACTCAGCTTCACAGACGTCACCACTGAGCTATTCGTGATGAGATATATTTACGATGGACTGATTATTGAATAGTGGCCAATGTCAACTCCATCCTGGTGCTAATCAAATTCTATCGATTAAACGGATCGTTTATTTTGCGGTCCAATAAAGAAACCGTTAAAAAAAACCTCTAACTTCTACTCTTTAACTGGTCTGTACCCTGATTGTAAAACAGAGCCTTTGAATTATGAATTCAATGAAATAAGTTGGAATTATATGCATTCATGTCATTGGTATATGCAAGTATTTTTGTGCACTTTAAAGAAACGTAATGCACTGGTCAAAATAGAATAAAAGCTTGAAGAGCAAAAGATTTTGAAATATTAGTAGCATCAAGAGAAGTATTTGAAATAATGATTTAAATGAAATGAAATTATACGTTAATTTATTTAGACATTTCACTGTTTTTGAAGATCAGTGATGTATTAATCACTCTATACCTTTTGTCGGTGATGTACACTGTCCTAATGAACTTCGCCAAAAGCTTTCCTAACATTAAAAAGAAAAATGGCAATACAGGCACTAACTAACATACAGCTGAACTGTGTACAAGCCAGTGTATACAACATAATTACGAGTGAAATAGTGTAAGTTACAAAAAATACTTCACGTTGGACCAAAGAAAAAGAAACAAAATAAAAGATGAATTGATCATGAAGAGATTATCAAAAATTTGTAATAGTTATTACAAAATTTACAAATTTGGAATTTTCTCCGCATATTTCCGTGTAAACTCTTCAGCATTTTTGAAGAATTTCTTTTGATCCTTAGCATATTCTTCAGCTAAATCTGAACGTAGAGCATGTTCAACTTCCGGTGCGTGAAGCATTGCAACAAGTGCTTGAATAACTGTAAATAAAGTGAACACCCAGTAAGTGTTCTCAAACATTTTTAAAGCGAATGTGATAAGACTGAAGATTTAAAGTGAATTTTAAAATCATTTTCCGAACCCAACAATTTAAAAATAAAATATATCAGACTTAAATCGGACACATTGATGACCTAGATTTTTGAGGTTTAATTTATTCCAAGTACATCTTTATGCGGTTAAGCCAAAATTCACGAGTGCAGTGAAGCTACGAACAACAACTTCCTCAAATG